TGAATTATCTACACGCCCCAACTCGATTCTTGGTAAACTGAAGTCACACACGTCCTTGCGGGACCCACGTAAACGACTTTTTCATTCATTTTATTAATATGCACCCTCGAATTCGAGCTTCTCTAAATAAATGATCGGAACCTCGAAATAGTAAATCAACGCGACAAACGGCTTCTTCTCTTCTCGTGCATTCTCGAAAGCACTTTTCGTTAATGCTCGACTCACTTATCGAAGCCGACGGAACACCGCAAGGTCGCCTCATTAAATAAGCTAATATATATAGCAATCTACTCCCACGGGAATTCAAGTTTCTCTAATTAAATGCTCGGAACTCCGAAACTCTCGATAAATGTCCCGCATGACATCGTGCCTGAATTATCTACACGTCCCAACTCGATTCTTGATAAACCGAAGTCACACGCGTCCTTGCGAGACCCACGTAAACGGCTTTTTCATTTATTTTTATTAATATGCACCCTCGAACTCGAGCTTCTCTAAATAAATGATCGGAACCTCGAAATAGTAAATCAACGCGACAAACGACTTCTTCTCTTCTCGTGCTTTCTCGAAAGCACTTTTCTTTAATGCTCGACTCACTTATCGAAGCCGACGGAACACCGCAAGGTCGCCTCATTAAATAAGCTAATATATATATAACAATCTACTCCCACGGGAATTCAAATTTCTCTAATTAAATGCTCGGAACTCCAAAACACTCGATAAATGTCCCACATGACATCGTGCCTGAATTATCTACACGTTCCAACTCGATTCTTGGTAAACCGAAGTCACACGCGTCCTTGCGGGACCCACGTAAACGGCTTTTTCATTTATTTTTATTAATATGCACCCTCGAACTCGAGCTTCTCTAAATAAACGATCGGAACTTCGAAATAGTAAATCAACGCGACAAACGACTTCTTCTCTTCTCGTGCTTTCTCGAAAGCACTTTTCGTTAATGCTCGACTCACTTATCGAAGCCGACGGAACACCGCAATGTCGCCTCATTAAATAAGCTAATATATATAACAATCTACTCCCACGGGAATTCAATTTTCTCTAATTAAATGCTCGGAACTCCAAAACACTCGATAAATGTCCCGCATGACATCGTGCCTGAATTATCTACACGTCCCAACACGATTCTTGGTAAACCGAAGTCACACGCGTCCTTGCGAGACCCACGTAAACGGCTTTTTCATTTATTTTTATTAATATGCACCCTCGAACTCGAGCTTCTCTAAATAAATGATCAGAACCTCGAAATAGTAAATCATCGCGACAAACGACTTCTTCTCTTCTCCTGCTTTCTCGAAAGCACTTTTCGTTAATGCTCGACTCACTTATCGAAGCCGACGGAACACCGCAAGGTCGCCTCATTAAATAAGCTAATATATATAACAATCTACTCCCACGGGAATTCAAATTTCTCTAATTAAATGTCCGGAACTCCAAAACACTCGATAAATGTCCCGCTGACATCGTGCCTGAATTATCTACACGTCCCAACTCGATTCTTGGTAAACCGAAGTCACACGCGTCCTTGCGGGACCCACGTAAACGGCTTTTTCATTTATTTTTATTAATATGCACCCTCGAACTCGAGCTTCTCTAAATAAATGATCGGAACTTCGAAATAGTAAATCAACGCGACAAACGACTTCTTCTCTTCTCGTGCTTTCTCGAAAGCACTTTTCGTTAATGCTCGACTCACTTATCGAAGCCGACGGAACACCGCAAGGTCGCCTCATTAAATAAGCTATATATATAGCAATCTACTCCCACGGGAATTCAAATTTCTCTAATTAAATGCTCGGAACTCCAAAACATTCGATAAATGTCCCGCATGACATCGTGCCCGAATTATCTACACGTCCCAACTCGATTCTTGGTAAACCGAAGTCACACGCGTCCTTGCGGGACCCACGTAAACGACTTTTTCATTTATTTTTATTAATATGCACCCTCGAACTCGAGCTTCTCTAAATAAATGATCGGAACCTCGAAATAGTAAATCTACGCGACAAACGACTTCTTCTCTTCTCGTGCTTTCTCGAAAGCACTTTTCGTTAATGCTCAACTCACTTATCGAAGCCGACGGAACACCGCAAGGTCGCCTCATTAAACAAGTTAATATATTGCAAAACATAAAGAAAATTAAATATAAATAATAAATTTTATTTGTAAAACGTATTTTCGTAATACGTTTTACAATTAATTCATTGTCAAACGTATTACGGAAATACGTTTTACAATTA